TGGTAAACCTTCTGTTTCTCTGTTGGAGAAATCAAACTTGATTATCATACAGAGGGACAGACACAGCATCGGGTTAGATTTTAATTCACACAAAATCCATTCACTTTAAAGAAAAATAAACCGGATGCTGGAAATCTGAAATAAAAACACAAAGTGTTGGAGAACCTGAACAGGTCTGGCAGCATCTGTGGAGAGGCAAAATACATGTTTTGAGTTCAATAAGTTCAGAATTGAAAGGAACTGGAAAATGGTGGTCTTTATGCTGTTGGCAGAGGTGGGGGGGAACAGTGAGTGAAACAGATTCTGAGGATGCCTAAAAGATAATGGGAATTATAGTGGTGGCAAATGAGCAATAGAGACATAAAATGAGGATAAATGAAGGCGTGAAAAAGAGAAAAAAGGTCCATTCTGCTGACAGCAAAGTCAACAAGACATGACTGGGGTAGGGAGAATGTAAGATAAATGGTTGGTAAACGTGATACACGAAAGCTGTTGACCTCAATGTTGAGTCCTAGGGACCAGGCATTGAGCTTCGTTGTAACACTGTACCACAGAAATATGAGCATGGAAGCAAAATGGTTTATTGAAATGGAAAGCAACTGGAAGGTCGATATCATGCCTATGGTCAGAAAGGAGACATTCTGCAAAACAATTGTCCAGTCTGCATTTTGTCTCATCAACGTAAAGGAGACTGAATTGTGAGCATCAATATACTACAGCAGACTAGATTGAAGGAAGGAGGTAAACTTGGGTCCAGTGTAATAATGCGATTCTGGCCTATGTTCCCTGACTAACCACTTTAATTGGAAAGATTTTATTTATCAAATTTTATTCACAACAACTTAATTCTATTGTTTTATTTCTAAGAAACAATACGTGTTCAAGCTTTTCATTGTGCTTTCCAAGCTATTCTGGATCATGTATAAGTGAGATGTGGCTGCAACCTCAAAGATATGTATGTGGCACAGTGGAAACAAAGAATCTATGTTACAGAGTCCATGTGTTCGACTGGCTCAGCACCTTCCAGCTGCAAGCAACTGAATGTTGAGTGCTCTAGGTAACTGAACACCAAGACTGTTGAGTATACAGATCACAAAAATAGGACACACTTTTGAAAGATATAGAATATATTGTCAGGCAAATTAAGAAAAAATTCTATTCTGAAATAAAAATATCAATATTTACACTTATGTACATTTATATATACACACTGAGCACTTTGAGGTGTCCTAAGGCCCTTTATAAGATTGTTATGTAAATATACTTTTAGAAAATTGGTTTTGAAATTTGGCAGCAGGAATCCATAATACATATTCAGGAGGTCCCAAAATGCTTGTCAGCTAATGCAGTAATATTATAAGGAATTTTGACATCCAAATTACACACAGCAAGGTCCCACAATGGTAATGAGAAAAATGACCAGATAATAATTCCTTGGTGATCCTGGTTCAGAGGTAAAATGTTGCCTAGAATATTGTGGAAACTCCACTGTTCTTCAGCATTGTAGAATGGTTACAGCACAGAAGGAGACCAGTTGGCCCATTGCACCTGTGCTGGCTCTCTGCAAGAGAAACTCAGTGAGTTCCACTCTGCTGCTCCTTTCCTATAACTGTGCAAATGATTTCTGATCAGAAATTTGCCCAAGTTCCTTTTGAAATCCCTAGACCTCTCCACATGAAAAGATAACGCAGTCCAGAGCTTAAGCACTGGCTATGAAAACTGCTTCTCCTCATGTTGCCATGGGTTTTTTTTGTCAACTACCATAAATCTGTTTCCTTAGTTCTCAACCCGGGTGTAATTTGAAGCAGTTTATCCAAATCTACCCTGCCTATAACTGTTATGATATTCGATAGCTCTACATGACTCCTCTTGACCCCTTAAGCTAGAGAGAACTAGCCTGGTTTCTTCAGAGTGGGATTTTTTATACCTCCACCTGAGGTACCAGATAGGGTGTTAGTTTAATGCCTCATTCGTATTGGAAAAATCAAATTTAATAGTGTTGCACTCTTTCAGTACTGCACTGAAGGAGCTGACTCCATCATGGTAGTGTGGAACGGAGATTGAACTTTCTCTACAGCCATTGAGATACAGACAGTGTTTGGATAAGTAGAGACTGGTTGGTAATAGAAGAATGTTGTCACTGTTCCAAGTGTAGGCGTGGACACATTTCTTTCATGCTCTCTTGCTGTAATTAAATTTCTCAGGATTTGCTGAAACATATTAACATCTTGAAACCTGAATACAAATCAGAAATTCAAGAAAATTCCTGTCAATTTTTGTTAAATGAATAGCAGATTTATTTTGCTTCTGTTGCCCTTAAACTTGATACCAATGTAATGTGCAGTTTGGCAGGAGGTGATAACTGAGCTCACCAATTACTGTCACTTTCCTGTATTTCTTTTTTTGCAATGACCGTGGTTGTGTTTTCATTTTAACTATTCCCCTTTGAAAGTTTCTATTGAATTGGTTTCCAGGAGCTCTTGTGGCTTGGTGGTAGTTGGTTAGCTGAGTTGGCTGTATGGTTGCTCTGTCATGAGGAAGAGATACTAAAAACATGAGTTCAATTCCCACATCCTGCTCAGGTTATTATGAACTTCCCCCTCACCTGAAGTATGATGACCTGCAGATTAAACTGCCCTCATAGATTCATACAGCATAGAAACAGTCCATGCTGACATAATCCCAAATTAAACTAGTCCCACCTGCCTGTTCCTGGCCCCTATCCCTCCAAATATGTACTTATCTAAAATATCTTTCAAATGTTGTAACTGTACCCATATTCACCACTTCAAGAAGTTCATTGCACACAGGAACCACCTCTGGTATAAAAAAAATTGCCCCTCCTGCCTTTTTAAAATTTCTCTCCCCTCACCTTAAAAATGTGCCCCCTAGTCTTGAAATCCCCCACCCTAGGGAAAAGGCCCTTAACATTCACCTTATCAAGCCCCTCATGATTCTATAAACCTCAATAAGGTTACCTCTCAACTTGTTCTCTGAGAGTCTAGGACTATAGTGACTTTAGCTTTAGTAGTAATGTCCTTATTTGTAGACCAGAAGGTCGGACAAGTTCCACTGGGATGTCATAAACCCATCCCGATGTAAATTTATTGTTTTCAAAAAAAATTCTACTTCTGCTACTTCTTTCAGGCAACTCATAGATATAAGGTTCAGAAAAACCAAAGCTAATTTTCTCAAATAACATCAAACTACTGAGGATCTTCGAGATCTGAAAACAAAGCAGAAAGTGTTGGAGAGACTCAACAGGTCTAGCAGCATCCGTGGAGAGAGAAACAGAGTTCACGTTTCAAATCCACTCTGACTTCTTTGGAACTTATCTACCCATGCAAAATCTATCTGCATTCTGAAAACAGAATGTGTTTTTCTTCTCATTTCAAATCATTAATACTATGTTCCTTTGGCAAAGTGGGAAACATATGGAGTGGGATCTTGTGAGTAATCTCTACCACTATCCAGCTCAGTAATCGGCGCTAAAGTGTTCGTGTCGGAGGCTGATAGTATCTCGTCTCAAATTTGAGAACGGAAGGGATTGAGAGCTGCGCGCTAACTGGACCACAGCCCCAGAGAGATTCAGTCCCCTTCTGTAATTCACACGCGCATTGAGTACGGGGCACGGTGCGTGTTGGCAGGTAAATTGCACACGCCTTACAATTTAATTATCAGAACTCTCCAGAATGGGAAATATAACACCATCAATCTTTGCCTTCCGGCCGACGTGTCATTTTTGAAAAGTAGAAAGGGCTTGACGGGCGTAGACAGTTAAGAAATGATGAATTGTAGCTCGTTTGAGCTACAATTTTTTAAAACGATAAATGCTGTCCTCTGAATTTTTGCTCAGACATTCCATTTTTTTCAACGAACTTGTCCTGTATAGAGATTAGCAGGAACAGTGCCTAAGGTGTCAGGGCTGATTGCAGGGACTCTCGCCACTGTTTCAAACATTACCAGCTTACGGGAGCAAACATTTTCTTCTTAAAAAAACTCTATTCAGATTCCAGGTAAAGGGACCAGTATCCGGAGGTATTTTAATGGAAATGGAAATTCCTGTATTCGTTATCGATATCGCTACCAAACACAGAATATTCGTCTTTTTTGCATAACATAGAAAGTTCGAGCAAAATAAAACCTCTCTGTCACCACTAATGCTCAGAATTATACCGTTAATATGACTTACCTAATAGCATGGGGTGGGGGTGGGTCTGGGTGTGGTGCTTTTCTGAGGGTCGGTGCAGATTCGATGGGCCGAACGGCCTTTTCCTGCACTGTAGGGATTCTATCATTCTAAATAAAATGCTTTGACATCTCTTAGCCTTGTTTCCCCTCAGTTTGCCAGTCTGCCCGTAGAACTGAGTCGCACCACCTTAACAAAAGCGTCGTCTCTCCCTCCATCACCATTACCACCCTGCGCCTCCCCATCATCTATACTGTGCGGTGACTGAGAAAAACGGGGGCAAAATGGCATTTCTGTGTTTGAGTGATTCAGCATTGAAAGAGTTAATAGCACCGGATCAACACTGAAAGCCGCACAAGGCAGTCAGCTCAGTCGATATTTTCAGAATGGCGTTCATGTGGCTTTAAGGAATAAAATGACTCGGTAACAACACGCACAGAAGCAGTCCAGCCTCAGTGTTGTTTATCCTTCAGCTAAGACCCATTTTCTTCACCGTTTCCTTCGCTCTCAATCCCCCACCCTCCGGGTTCAGAATTGAGCACAATCTGAGCCGCGTAATCTAACCAGTGGATAAAAGTCGTAAATTATAGAACTGCTCTAACGGCATGTGTTTCCCTTTGCAACAAAAAAATCCCCACGAAGATCGCGGTTTCGGGGTGCTCTCAATATACCTATAAACATATATTTCTTTACAAAAGAAGGGGCAAGGATTCAGAAATGTTCTCCAAAGCGGCGTGTTAAAGCCACCGGGAGACCGGCAAGCAGGGTCGGAGTATAAAGTCGGTGAGTTTTGTGTGACTGGGTGACAATGGCAGAGTTTGTACAAAGAACAAAGTGGGTGAATGATCCCATTTTCTGGGCGCTCACTTAATACGTTCTCCACCAGATACATGGATGCCGCCCGAGCCTGGGCGCTAAACTTTAGATCAACTCTAGGTGTTTCACAAGAAATACCGGCAACGTTTGAGTTTAAAAGTGATAAAGAGGACTCAAGTAGGCGATTTTCTTAGGTAAGAAAAATGAGGGAGGAAAGGTATCAGATTACGGAAGTGCCGAGTCTGCAGAGCAAACTATTCATTAAAACGAGATAAATAATTCACTAAGTTTCCACCAGCCGATAGCTTGCAAAATGTCCCTTTCCCACTCCTGGGCAGACTCTGTTGTAAATAAAAATGCCATTTCCACGGGTCCCCAGTGTTGTACCTGCGGACACAGCTTTAGAAAAAGCAGACAAGATCTTACTAAAGCGCGCCTCCCTCTGACGCACAAACTTCACACAGCAGCTGTCCGCTTTTTAAAAAAAAGGGAAAAAAACGTCTGCGACCTCTCTTGCGTTTAAAGTCTATAATTTTGTATTTGAAAAAGTAAAGCTGTAGCGTGGGGATCACTTTAAACATGACAAAAAAAACAGTGGAAACTGAAAAGTTAATGCAATTTGAAATTCGAGCATGATTTAATGTATTTTGCGAGCGTTTGCCTGCCAGGATTCTATCTGAAGGTTTAACAGCAAACTGGTCACGCACTTTTCCCATTATCGAAGTGTTGATGTCGGATAATGGCACTGTACAAACTAGTAACCAGGCTCACACTCAAGTAAGTTTGGAAGCTGTGAAGAAACTCCTTTCTCTTTCATTAACTTTCTGCTTTATGGAAACACGTGCCCTTTTTTCGCCTTACTTTGGAGAGGGGGGGTGGTGGAGATCAAAACTTAATGAACTACTTATGATGAGGTTTAAGTTTTAGGCAGAAGTGAACACAGCAAACGTTTAGCAACGAAAAGACTGACTATAATCTATGCTATTTCAACCATTCCCTTCCCAGCAATATTCAGTCCCTAGCCTAAGGGCCAGGAAATAAATGATCAATAAAGTGCTACAAACAAAATAACAGCCCGCGGAAATATCTGGTCTTCATTTTACATTACTGGGGACTGTTTACAACAGATTACACCCAAAAAGACTAAGTCTCACATGTAATATTTGAACCGGTGGGTCTTGTGCTGAAGGAAAACAGGCAGATAACGGAATTCAACACGTGCATAACAGTTTCTCAATAAATGTTGCTTTTCCCTTTTTTTAACAGGTGAATTAAGCGAGACACGACAAGAAAATTCGTGCGAAAAGATCTTCAAGAGGGATAAAAAAAAATACTGCCTTACCAGACATTCTAGGATTTATAATTGTCAGCTTGCTTCAGGAGAGATGCTTTGAATGGCCCCAGCAATGAATCTTTCTCTTCAGATTTGTTGATAAGAGTGCAATTTTCTTAAAATTAAGGCAATGTGCTAGGTTCAGCACTGAAATTTGAACAATACACAATCACAATTATTGCACTATACCTTGGGACATAACTTAGAGTTTTGCAGCACTCATGCCGACCTTTTTAAAACCTCTACAATCCAATGATTTGACAATGAATGATTGCGCGATACTTTCAATTTGAATATTCAAAGCCCAGACAAAAAGAGTGCTCTCTTTTTCAAACACTGTGCTTTTCCATCTATTAAAGACTCCAATGGAATGAAATACAATGTAAAGTATGGAACTTTATGCATGATTGTCCACATTTTTGTGATTTTAAGAATCTTTGGCTAGTGGGGCCAGAGAGACTCAAACATGTCCATAATTTTTGCCCTGCCATCTCATTTTTACCCCAGAGCCCTCCCAACTCCACATTCACATTTGCCAGCGATGCACTACAGCCCTGGGTACACTTTATATCGACGTTTTATCCTGATAAGTGGTATTTATCCACGATTTGGTACCAAACATGGCAGATTGTGGGCGTGGCATAGAGTAGTCCTTTAATCGAGCATGGAGTGAGAATAAAAACAGCAAACGGTTGATCTCCAGCTACATTCTACATCTATAGCAGTCTTACAGAGCTCTGGGAAATAAGAATTGTTTGTAACGAAATTCTTCAATTAGAGGAAGCGAAGATTTCCTTACAGTAATGACCCTGTGATATTTGAATATCGCCTGCCCGTTTGAGGACAGCTTTTGGGATTTTATTTCATTCTGATTTTCTGGCGGTTTAACGGCATCGCAAGCAACTAAGGCCTTTCGAGCGGATCCCAATGCATCGGACCTTCGTCGTTCAGACACGGGGAGCGGGATTCTCCTGTCCTAATGTCTGTGTTCATTGTTTTTCATTTTGTTATGGTGCATCATTAATAAAACAATCCTGTTTGTTAAAGTATTTCTATTCCTTCGCAATCACACGCTGCTTCTATTCACATCCGACGGTTACAGTCTAATCATTGTTATACCAGTTTCTTATTCTCCATCTTGAGAACTTATTTCCAGAACTGCAAAGAACATTCAGATTCACACTAGGTTTGCGTTATCTCTACTACATATTGGCTACATTGTCATTAGTGAAACAGGCTTTAGCTAATCGTTTTCATCAATAAATGACTGAGTTGATCAAGCCTTTTCAAGGGCCAGTAATCATTCTCTTATGGAAAACTGTACACGAAGGAAATCTTGTTGCATTATATTGTCAGCCCTGTTTTTGGGGAGACGAAACCATTAAACTGGCAATGAAAGGTTGTTCCTTTGCAGCTGGCTGCGCCTATCAGAGGTTCTGGGATTCTGGGCCTCGTTCATACTTAACCAGAAATGCTTGCTGAGGTCTGGGTTCCCCTTGCGGTTTCACAACACAGTGTGGGATAATCAAACAATTAGACCCTTTGTACCCACCAAAACCCGACAGTTTTGTTCTTTTCTCTCTCTAAACTATTGACCTTTACTGCACCATGTTATTTGTTGCGGCTGGGTTACGGTTCAGCTACATGGAGTGTACCATGGGCATTTAATTTTACAGTGACACTGGGGCTGACATCTCGGCTCGCCCTGATAGGGAGAACAGCAAACTCTATTTTCACCGCTTCCCACCCGTCTCAGGTCACATCATCCACCCCGCGGCTCAAGATAGGGGGAGGAGGGGCGTAAAACTGGGACATCTTCCAACACACCTCCATCCTCCCAAACCTCACACAGCTCTTTTTCATTTCGGAATCGGTTCTAGTTGACCTATCTTGATGGTTCACATGTTGAAAACTAAATCCTGGTCGGTCTTACCGCCGAGCCTAATTACGTGATTCAACATGGCCAGTAACCCGGTGTCGGTGCCAATGCTGTCAAGACCGAATCGAGAGAGAGAGAGAGTGTTATTGTGTGTGTGTATCCCACTGCTTTGCCTTATAGTCCAGTTGCAGCCTACAACCGGCAATGGTGCAGCTGAGATTTTGCTTTTAAAATGCACTTTTGCCATGCTCTGTAATTCTATCAACTCAGTTTAAGATTCGTCCCTCGGTTGCAGTGCTGCCCCACCGTATCCTTAGGTGGGAGAATTCCTATCCCATTTGGGAGCCGTTTTCTCGCTCTAAAGGCGCAGTTTCGTTGTACAGATATATCACATATTCGGCCAGTGCATCACCCATATACATCAGAGCGCTCTCTGACATCTATAGGTGGTATACACGGGACAGCTACTTCATGAGTGCGACGCAGTCACTGGAACATCGGATTGATGTTATGTACACATTGTATAACTTGTAAATGCTGCAAGTCGAGATCCAAGCTCTTGTGGTGTGCAGTGGTAGCGTCCCTACTTCTGGGTCAAGGAGGCCCGCGTTCAAGTCTCTACCTGTCCCCTGTCATAACATATCTGAACAGGTTGGCGAAAGATATCTGTATTGAATTTGGACGCATATCAGAGAATTTTACATTTTCCAGATACGCCCGGTGCATTTTATTTATCAATTGACCTTGCTTATGAGGGGTTTCATTAAAATAAAACTGGCAGTTAAAAAGCGACGGTGTTGGGAGAGTAAAATTACTAGCTCGGAGTAGTTTCTACTCAGAGGCGAGCAAGAACTAACAGGATGCCAGGGACACTGCAAACAGATGGCAAGTGGCGTTTACACCGCGTCACATCGATCCAAGAGCGCTGCTTGGCTCAAACTGGGCAAAGATTGTCTGGGGGAAGAATGTAAACCCTACACCCACCCTGCCTAAACCCCTCCGGATTGTGCCCCAGGCAATTTCAAGCCGGCAGTAGCAAAAATAGACTCGGCAGAAAGAGGACCAAAAAGTTATTCAGTTGCACTCCATTCCCTCTGTTGTGTAGATAAAATGGCTTTTAAACATTTAATAATGACATTGGATATAACACATTGCTACAATTTCGCAGATTGAAAGGGTTGTGTTTTCTGTTCAAAGTGCAAGTTAGAGAACGGGAATATGGAGCCCGAACCATTGAACTGCGGGGCAGGGCAAGTTGTGAAGGGAGCCATCAGACCCGAAACTCAGTAAGCAGCTATCCTTCAAAATGTCAGTCAGCTCTGGGTTGTTCATGGACCTGTAATTGACTTCACAATAACGGACAGAGCTGTGGAGTGTTTTTTTTGTTTTATCACAGATATTATTGACGTATTACTCATCCCAAATGCTGCAAAGGGCAGTGGCAAATCGTTCGTCATGGGCCAGGAATTTAACCGAACACTGAATGCAGAGGAATCGTAACGCTTAGCGACAGAGGAAGCGATAAACTGGAAAAGGAACACCTTACGCCCTCCTCGGGTGGTGGAGGCTTTGATTCCCATCTTCATCTCCGGGCCAGGAGAATTTGGGATGTCTCGTTACGGTAAAGGTTCAATGCAAATATAGGTTGGTGCTGATTCGCCCTCAACCCGGGCTGCTGCTACATTCTGCTTGAAGGACTGGTAGAGATGCAGATATCAGATGCAGAACGAGCAGCAGGCAATTAACGACAGCCCCAACATGTTCCCCCATTCAGTCAGATCAGAGCTGAGCCTGACTTTAACCCTAACGGAACTGTCCTGCTTATCTCCACACCCTTGTTGTTTTCTTCTTGTTGTCGTGAGATATCGCCCTTGTTAGACATTATGTAATTGAATATAATTGATGAAATACTTTATACAAGGTCACTACAGTAGCTCATTGCCTCAAATATCCATTATACAATTTATTTATTGAGTCATAATTCTCAAGCTCACTGATTGTACATTTCAAGGCAGTTTTATGCGCGCTTTTTTCTCACTAATTTCTTCAGCTTCACTTGATTAATCAAACAACTTGGTCTGGGTGGGATGCTCTGAGGGTCGGTGTGGACTTGGGCCGAAGGGCCTGTTTTCACACTGTAGGGATTCTATGATTTATGATTAACTTGCCATCAACTAACAGTATAGAGTGAGCCATGCTGTGAGTTCCACACCCATGTTAGTCAAGTAACTAATTTCTGCCTTAAGGATATTCGATGTCTCAGCGTCGCCCCTGTCTCTGAGAGATTCACAGCCCCTGAGTGGAAAGAAATTCCTCATCTCCGACTTGCGCAGGCGACCACTTCCATTAAAATAGTACTTCCATTAAAATAGTACCCCTAGTCTGGTCTCCCCGACAAGTCCCCTCGGGACTTTCTTTGTCCCAATAACATGAAAACTCAGATCTGGGCCTGACCGGGTCTGTCACACACCTTAAGAGAGGGGAAGCATTTTATTTTTATTTTACATCAATATCCCACGCAGGGGCTAAATTCCACTTTGTATTAAAGACAGAAATTGCTGGAGAACCCTTCAGAAGGGTCACTGGATTCGAAACGTTAACTTTGCTTTCTCTGCACAGATACTGCCGGACCTGCTGAGTTTTCCCAGCAATTTCCGTGTTTGTTTCAGATTTCCGGCATCCGCAGTTCGTTGTTTATTGTTTCGTGCTCCTTCCAAACCCACGACCACTTCCGTCTAGAAGGACAAGAGCAGCAGATATATGGGAACATCACCACCTCCGAGTTCCCCTCCAAGTCAGTCACCATCCTGACTTGGAAATATTTCGCCTTTCCTTCATTGTTGCTGGGTCAAAATCCCGGAATTCCCTCCCTAATAGCATTGTGGGTCAGTAGCAGGAGGACTGCAGCGGTTCAAGAAGGCAGCTCACCACCACCTTCTCAAGGGCAACTAGGGAGGTTATGCAAAATGAATCGAAAGCCCTGTTTGGCCTGAGCTGGATTTGTGACTAATGCCTGGCACTAGACGTTAGGAAGGATGTAAAGACTTTGAGGAGAGTTGCAGAAGAAATTTACTGGAATGTTTCCAGGGCTGATGGACTGGAAGGAGATAGATTGAAGAAACTGGAGTTGTACTCCTTAGAGCGAAGACGGATGAACAGGATGGTTCCTAAAGATATTCCAACTCGTGAAGGGTTTAGATTCGTTCATAAAGAGAAGCGGGTTCCAATGATCGAAGGGACACGGGTTCAAAGCGATTCAAGGACGAGAGACAAGCAATGTTTTTATACGGCAAATTAGTTAGGATTCAGAAGGCATCGCCTAATAAGTTGGTGGACACTGATTCACGCATAGCCCTCAAAAATAACGGGATGCATATTTTGTTTAAAAAAAGGCACTTCGCACTGATCTGAGAAACAGTGAATGGAGTTCAGTAGATTGCAGCTTGAACATGTATCTACGATTTATTAAAGTCCCTCTGAAGATTACTGCCTCCATAGCTGGAGATATCTTGCACCCACCAGGGAATCACAGCTGGTTAAAACAGACTGCCTTGACTTGCTGTCAAAACTGTTATCAAGTGAACAGCGCAATTTTGACAACGACAGACTGTTTTAACCAGCTGTGGTTCCCTGGTGAGTGCATGATATCTCCAACTATGGAGGCAGTTATCTTCAGGAAGAATCATTTTCAAACCTTTTACTTTTCTTCACGTGTCTGACTGGACATCTCCCTACAGTCTGTTTCACATTTCTGGCCCATTAATGTGAACCGGCATTTGTATAGCACCTTCGATGTGCTGAAGCTTTCCAAAACGCTTCAGGATGGCAATATTTGGTCAATGACCAAAGATCTGGTAACCGAGACTGATGACTAAAACATTGGCGGCACGAGGTAGGTTTTAGGGTACATCTTGAAACAGAAAGGTAGAGAAACGGCCATTCGCTCTTTGAGAGGTTGTGGTCTGAAATGTCCGGATCGGAGCTGTCAGGTACTTTAAGAATCACATAGTGTCGAAGCTGAGGTGAGATGAATAATTTCTAAGTGAAAGCATGTTTCAGACATGAGATAACAAGGTTTCAGACACGAGTTTGGCGTCCCCTCTTGACAACAGAAGGTAATAGCGTTGATGAAGATTCAGAAAAAATGAAATAAAACTGAACTGGAAA